GATGAATGGATCTTAGCGTCACTTGCCCAAAAATATTACGTCTCTGAGTTTCAAAAGGCAATATTTTTCAGTACAGTAATATTGACTCTTGACAATTTACAGTCTATTGAAATGAAATTGGACAAAAATAAGTGTGCGACGCTGCTGTGGCAAATAAAATCCACATTGCCGTGTTGGAAAAGGAAAAGGCGTTTGATAGTTTTTGAACCCACCGCCACCCGTTGCCAAGCCGCGGCCGCGGCGAAAGTAGTGAGAGGGGAAAGAGAGGGAAAAGGGGGGCCGGGGAGAGATGCACTAGGTGGCACGGTCGCGTCTCCACGCCTCTGCCATCAGATGTTTACATAACCCCTTTTAAAAGCGCTACAAAAGTGCCACCTGCAACACGCGCACCTCTTTGTCCTGGTGCGCGACTGCCGCCGCCGAGCGGTGGTGACGATACGATCCGCTGCGCTCGACTCGCGGCGGGGTGTTACAGCCGCGGTAATGCATCACGCAAAGGTGTTACACGCACTTACACGGCGAGGTTGTCTCGTCAAAATCCCCAACCACCCTCTCGAGGTGTTAACGGACAGGATTATGGTTAACTGTTTTTCAAAGGTCGTTGAGACTCGCGGTGACGTCACAAAGAAACACGTTGTAAAGGGCGTTCGAACGTGATCACGGTAAAAACAAAGTCTGATTTTTTAAAGAAAACGGAAAAACTTTGAGGCACGCCTGGGTAAAACTCCTCAGACTGAGGAAATCTTCTCAAAAATGAAGGGAATTCTCAAATTATTTGAGGAGACTTTCTCAAAACCCGATGAGTTTTTCCTCAAATGGGGGAGTTCTCATAAAAGTTCTCAAAAAAGTTCTCAAAAAAAATCAGATATTGTTTTAGCCTGAATTCCCCTTTATAGACAGTGAAGTTAAGACGGGCGGACGGACGCCCGTCCGGCGGCGTTCTCGCGAGATGCTATCGTCGACCCTTATTGCGAGAGGTCGGACATTATTTCGAGAGATCGCCTCGTCCGGCTCCCCTCGCTTCTCTGGTTCCGTCCGTGCCAATCACTTCCCCGCCGGTGGAGCTGAGAGCGCCAGAGGCCATCAGAAGTAAATCAACAGTCCACTCGCCTCGGCCCAGACGCGCCCTGTGCCGAGCCCTGCCGAGCCCAAGAAAACGAAAGCGCCCATCGTCATAACCCTATCATCTGCAAATAATAAACTCATCTCCAGAAGTTTGGATTATTCACACCATTCGTAGAGAGCGAGACTAGGGGAGGTTGGTGGTTGGAAGGAGGCGGGAAAGGGGGAGGGGGCGACGAAAATAGTCGTGTAGACGCTGCGGAGGCATGGCACGGGGTAACGAAGGAAGATATCCGAGAGGTTCGAGTCGTTCGCCAAACTCGGTCTAGCCTCCTCCCCGGGGGGTGAGTGACCGCGCAGGACCCTGCGCCCGCGCAGAGCACCCCGCGCAGCACCCGGTACCCGCGAGCCGCCACCCCGCCCTCGGCGACAAGCGAGCAAGGTGCGGCAGAGCAGCGGGCGCGGGGGGTGAGCTAACACGGGGGCTTCCTGGACGCCGAACGGAGGTTTTCCCCCGAAGGTGTTCCTCAGGGGAGGGGGTGTTACTCAAGAGATGTTTCACAAGGGGGTGTTTCTCAGATGTAATCACCCCTCAAATGTGACCCTCAGAGGTGCTCCTCAGGGGGTGGTGGTCCTCGAATGTGACCCTCCAAAGGTGCTCCTCAGGGGGTGTCCCTCAGATGCGTTCCTCAAAGGTGTGTTCCTTAGTGGTGAGAGGTGTTGCCCGGGAGGTGTGCCTCAGGCAGGGGGTGTTCCTTGGGGAATGTGTATGTACCTCAGAGGTGACCCTCCGAGGTGTTCCTGGCCGTACACAAGGTCGTTTTCCTGAGCCCCAGCTTCGCCTATCACCGCCGCCCCCCGCACCCCGGCGGCCGGTTCAACGCACTCCCGTCCAGAGCGAATTATATCATCGCTAGCGCGCGGGAAAAAAAGAAGCTTACAAAACAAACGGTGCACGCGCGTGCCTGTAGTATACAGTGTGCGCGCCGCGGCGCGGCACGCCACGCCACGCCACGCCACGCCGCGCCACGCCACGCCACGCCACGCCACGCCACGCCACGCCACGCGTACGCGCGCCGCGAGCCTAGCGGATCGCATTCGCGCTCTGACGTCTCTCTCGCACCCGGGGCGGAAAGTGAACGTCGCCGTGCCGCTGCTGTGCCCGGCCCTGCGTGTCATTCACCCTGACAGTGGTCCGGCTGCGTCCGTTTGGGCCCCGGCTAGGCTAGGGGCTTGGGGGAGGCCCCCCGCGGCGGCGGCGGTGGTGGCGTTTCGGACGCAGCCTCGTGCTCTAGCACCACCACCGGGGCGGCGGGATGACCGAGAGGGTGTTGTTTGAAGCAGCCGCCGACGGCCGATCCGCGAGCCGCACTCAGTCGCGCTGCAGGTGGTGGCGCGTTGTGGTGATCGGGGGCGGCAAACGAGTACACGGCGGACCCGACCACAGGTTAGTGTACCCGCGGACAGCCGGCCGGGCCCTTCAGGTGAGGCGAGGACCGCCCCCCTCCCCTCCCGCCCCGGTGCGGGGGAGGACGGGCGAGGGGGAGGGAAGGCCCAGCTCGCTCAACAGGTGCCGGGCTCGTCTCCGGGGAGCGCTAGGGAGTACACGGCCCCAGGCGCGCCCGGCCGCCGCGACACCGCCCTCCCCGCCCCCGCCGCCGGGCTCGCGCGCGGTCGGTGACACCGAGCCGGCCGCGAGATCACTTTCCCTGTCGAGATGGTTCGCGCGAATCTCGGCTGCCCGCTCCGCAGCAGGAAGCGAAGCGCACAGCCACCGGCTCGCGGTCCACTCCACCTTCCTTCTTCCCCCCCCCCCGGCCCTCCTGCCTTCCCTTTCCCCGCCCCCTCTACCTCGTTCCCCGCGACGCTCGCTGCCCGCGCGCTCTGTCGGCGAGCGGACGGAGCTCGGGTCCTGCGCGCCACGGACTGGTGGCGCGCCCTGGCCGGCGGCGCCGCCAACCACGGCGCCAGGCGCGCGAAGCGGCTGAAGTTTGAAAGTTTGAGAGGGGCACAGCGGCGGCGGCGCGGCGGCGCACCGCCCGTCGGGCTGCCTCTGGCACTTCTAAGCAGTTGCATAAAGAAAGAGTGACATTTTGGCACCACTATGTAGCACTGACCATTTTCTCACAAGACTGGCAAATGATGTCCGAAGTTGTTTTGCAGTTGCAGACGTGATTCGGAAGTTCAATCATTTTCAGTTTACTTGTGTAGTGACCATGGAGTACTCATACCATGTACTTATTATAACTATCCTGTTTGACATGCATATTTTACAGTAGACAGTGGGTTGTTCATTGACTTACGTTGATGGGGTAAAAATCTTCTAACTGTCGGTATAGAGCCTGAGTCGCTTTCAGTTTGACTTGTTCCCGCTGTTTCCACATTGGTTGGCTTGTCAACATTTGATTGATCTGTCGTACTTGGCCTTCTTCCTTGGAAGCTTTTCTGTAATCAAACGAATTACAGGGATATCTTAGAATTTCATTCTGATGGTTGTCATAGAGGGATCGTAATAAAGATTCAATAACTAACAAACTGAATGACAGAAATATTCAAACCTTTGGAGGTCTCATAACACCTCTCTCTTCATCTTCAATTCTTTTTCTCATTGATTCATAGGCAGCTATATTATCTAAAGTCATTGCATTTGGTACAGGAACTTTAGTCTTTCTTGAGTAGAGGGCTCTAAGAGGATCAAATTTGACCGACGTTAAATCTAAACTTTCATCACTGCTACTTGAGCATTCTTCTTTTTTCTGAGACATTATTACTAAACACTAGTAAATTATCTATGACATAGACTCAAACTGTCAAGTTTTAAAACTATTTTCGATCAGTCACAAATGGTTGTTTTCATTCGCTGGGCGACATAACCTTACTACTTTGATCCAGTGTTACCACACTGTAATTTCAAAACACATAAAAAATTCAAATTTTGTAAAGAAAAT